ATACCGAGGACGGGGAAACCGAGGGGAGTGACGAGTTAGAAGGGTAGCCATTTCGAGATTGGTATAGATTTAGAAATAAATCATGCTCTTGCAAGCTAGAGTGTATTTAGAGATTTTATGATATCAGAGCAGATGGTAAAATTTTATCTTGAAATTTTGTGGTATCAGATTGTGATTTGAATAAGTTCCGAGCCTTGTGCACTTGTGGGACCCGTCTCACGAGTGCACGGCGTCTGTCGCGTCCCCGGATTTGGGTTCTGGGGCGTGACAAGAGCACAACCCTTAAAGGGTTTGATGTCTATGTTGTGACCTAAAAGGCCAAGATTTTCATTTAAACATCCCAATAAGGGATCTCAAGGTAGACACCTCCAATTGCCCAGTTGGCATTCAATCTTAGCTCTATGGAGCGTGATCGTTAGAGATTTGGTTTTTACATTATGGCCTATGAGATTCTAGGTCGTCCCTCTCAGCTTCTTGGTTCCAGCTCGTCGCTCTCAGCTTCTTGGTTCCAGGTCGTCGCTCTTAGCTTCTTGGTTCCAGGTTGTCGCTCTTAGCTTCCTGGTTCTAGGTCATCGCTCTCAACTTCCTGGTTCTAGGTCGTCGTTCTCAGCTTTCTTAGTTTCCCGGTTCCAGGTCATCAATCTGACCTTCCTGGTTCCAGGTCATCACTCTCAGCTTACAGGTTGGAAATCTCAAATCAAGGTTTCCAAGCCATATTCCTCAGGAATAAATCAGACCCCTCTACAACCTATAAAAGTAAGAAGCTGAACCTATGTGATTTTTCAGCAAGCTTACAAATCACTGGAGGGGGGAGTAATGTTGGGATAGTAATCTAACTAACCTATAAACGGAATAAAGGCCCATAAGGCCCATAAGGCCCAAATACAAATGAGCACATCCATGAGTCACAATAGAGCTCATATACATTGAAATGGATCCAAAGGGACAATAGAAGTTCTATGACGATTATGGCATTAAGCTCGTCTTGACATCTGTGTATACTCTATAGTCAAATGGACAAGTCGAGTTTGCCAATAAAATTGTCTTGCGAGGCCTCAAGACGCGTGTTTTAGTTGCACATTCTAATTGGGTTGACGAGCTCAATAAAGTGCTTTGGTCATGTGGCACTACACCCAGCTTGGCCTCAGGCGAAACCCCATTCAGCCTTGCCTATGGAGCTGAGGCCGTCATCCCTGTAGAGGTCGGATTGCCATCTGATAGAGCAAGTTGGCACAACGATCTTAACAATGAGCAACTTTTAAGAGAGAACCTAGACCTTGTGGAAGAGGTCAGGGAGATGTCTCAGATAAGAAACATGGCGCATCAAAGTGGTGTCACTAATGCTTACTCGCATATGGGGAAACTTGCACCGAACTGGGAAGGTCCTTATATGATTATTCATGTTAAGTGACCTGGGTCTTATTAGTTGGCAGAAGAATACCAAACGCCTGAGCAAATCTCCTCAAAGATTCGCCACAATTTGAGAAGTTGCAGAGGTTGAGCTTGAAGTGCCGAGCTCAACCACGAACTACAGAGGTCAAGCATGAAGTGCCGAGCTCCACCATGAACTGTAGAGGTCGAGCATGAAGTGTAGAACTTTAGCATGAGCTGCAGAGTTCAAACACTTACAACCGAGGTCGGCCATGAGCTTCAGAGGTCGAGCACGAAGTGCAGAGCTCAAACATGAGCTGCTAAGGTCAAACACGAGCTGCAGAGCTCAAACACTTGCTGCCGAGGTCGAGCACGAAGTGTAGAGCTGAAACATGAGCTGATGAGGTCAAACATGAGCTGCAGAGCTCAAACACTTGCTGCCAAGGCCAGGCACGAAGTGCAGAACTTGAACACGAGGTGCAGAGGTCGAGCATGAGCTAAAAGATGTGCAGCACGAGTTGCAAGGTGTCAACACCCTCAAATTAGAGATTCACCTCAGTTTTGAACATCAAATGTTAGATCGTCACCAACTCCTTCAGATTTACTCTGTATTTTGGAGATCTCCATTATAGTGACGATTGAGGTCGCTCATTTCAGCCTGTCTGGGGTGATTGGTTCAGCGCCTTCGCTATCTGCATGCCTTCGCCCTGCTACAGAAAATCCCTTATGACTTCGGTCATTGCTTATTACCTCGACTTCGACCCACAGTGACCCAGCATCACACGTTTCACTTCGGCTCCGGCCACAGTGACCCAACGTCACACGTTACACTTTGGCTCCGACCACAGTTACCCAGTGTCACATGCTTTACTTCGGCTCCGGCCATAGTGACCCAGCGTCACACGTTTCACTTCGGCTTAGGCCACAGTGACCTAGGGTCACATGCTTTACTTCGGCTTCAGCCACAGTGACCCAGCGTCACACGTTTCACTTCGGCTTCGGCCACAGTGACCCAGTGTCGCATGCTTTACTTTGGCTCTGACCACAGTGACCCAACGTCACATGTTTCACTTTGGCTCCGGCCCACAGTGACCCAATGTTACATGCTTTACTTCGGCTTTGGCCATAGTGACCCAGTGTCACATGCCTTACTTCAGCTATGGCCATAGTGACCCAGCGTCATCACTTCGGCTTCGGCCACAATCACCCAAGGTCACATGCTTCACTTTGGCTCCTGCTACAGTGACCCAACGTCGCACGTTTCACTTCGGCTTCGGCCATAGTGACCTCGAGTCACATATTTTACTTCGGCTCCGGCCATAGTGACCCCGAGTCACATATTTTTCTTCGGCTCCAGCCATGGTGACCCTGAGTCACCTATTTTACTTCAACTCTTTCCATAGTGACTATGCGTCACTTATTTTACTTCGGCTACGACCATAACACATGACTCCATGTCATGCAATTTTACTTCAACTACGTCTATAACACCTGACTCCGTGTCATGCATTTTTACCTCAGCTACGGCCCAAAACACATGCACCGAGCTCGCCTATTCGGCTCGCTGATTAGCACCGAGCTCGCCTATTCGGCTCGCTGATTAGCACCGAGCTCGCTTGGTTTTAACAGCAGCTCCCCACACCTGCCCGGTAGGAAGCCGGCATACACATACACATCAGACTTGGCCACCCTGGCTTCAGGCTGCCCAGATCGCCCGTGTGCAAGGTCGGTCATGAACATAAAACGTCACTCTTCATCCTCAGGGTCAAACACCATGCTAATAAGACTCTTAACCCAGTTCATCAACCGAACACCGAGAGGGGAGTAATGTTGAGATTAGGCCCAACACTCGCTTCGGGCCACATGCAGTAGGCCCAACTATGCACCCATAGGCCCAAGAGGAGGAGACATACCCACGTGACCAGTGCCACATGGGCCAATGAGATGCTTACATGTACAGATGCATGTTAGCACTTGGGGCAATAAATACCCCTCAACTATCTCCGATGAAGGTAATTAATCTTTACGCTTCTCTCTCTATAATTACTCTTTTGAGAGCATCTCTCTCTAGAATATCTAGTATTGTTGACTTGAGCGTCGAAGCGTTTTCTCTGAGGAAACATCCTCGGGATTTTCAGGTGTGGAAACAGCCGAAGACTTCAACAGTGTTGGATCGTGAAGTTGCCCAAACAGAAACCCAAGAATTTTATTTGATATTACACTCAATTAAAATCAGTAAGAAACATTGCACTTTAAAGTTTAGCATTCAGTTGGATATAAGTTAATTACATTCTTTTCATTACGTGTTATAGAAAATAATCAAAATATAAAGAGAATACTTAATTTTGTTCTAGCACTGCTTTTTAAAAGTGCAGTCTAGGCATCCAGACTACTAAATTACTGTTAATAAATTAACATAAAGAAGAATTGCATTAAAGATATTTTGATAAATTTTAAAGTTAGATTATATATTTTATATGTAATCCATATAAATAAAACACATTTTTAAAATATAAAAGTTGATTTTTAATTTTATAAATCACTCAATTAAAATCATCTCTCCGTTGGATTAGACCCAATTAAAATCTTTTCAAGCAAAGAACATAACTTCTGTGTTTTCATATAAATTAATGAAGAAAGCAATTAATCAACCCTTAAACGAATAGGGTTATATCTGTAATTTGAAGTTAATGTAATTGTTTTAAAATTCAAAAAATATTTTTTTAACATGTGACTAAAATAATAAATGTACGTTTTTGTGATAAATTTATATAAAAAATTATAAAAGAAATATTAATTTTAGAAACAATGCTATATAGATGAACTTAATAAGATTATTAATAAATTAAAGGTCAATTTCTATTTATTTAATATAAAATTATAACAAATAATATATTTATTATATATAAATTTATATAAAAAATTATAAAAGAAATATTAAT